TTCTTTCACCTTAAGTGATGGTTTTAATTTCTTTTACATTTGGGCTTCGTCTCCCTCGGAACAGTTGATGCCCCATCGATGTAAGACTGTGCTCTCTTCATGAAGACTGGCCATCTCTCTCCTATCTCTCTTCGCAACATATCCCTCACTCCTTCTCCCCTAACATAAGCCTTCACAACGCTCTTGAAAGAATTGTTGTTTATCTTGTTGTGGAAGCACCTCTGTTCAACTACCTTCCCGGCCCTGTCATACCTCCTTGGTGTTAGTGAATACCACACACCTATCCCAGATGTTTCGTTCTTTGACTTCTTCTTGACGTTGGGGGTTGCGCCTCTGATTTTTATGGTGTCTCTAATATTGTGTTAGCGCCTAGTTGCACAAATGTTGTGATCATATTCTCTCGCACCCATCACATCCTTCATCAGGATTGTCGTTTGAATATTTCTTCCAAGTCCACTACGTATCTAATTTCAATATTTTAAACGGGAGTGCCTCAACCCCGTACATATTGAGGAGTTAACTACTTGGCATCTACTGCAATTTTCCAACCATGACCCAATGAAGTACCTGAGCTAAGCGCCTGCTAATGCCATTAAGGAGTGAACTACTATTTGTATAGGTTGAATGAGTATGTACATGAGCTAGGCGCCTGCTAATGCCATTAATGCGATGGTTGGCCACCTGGATCCTTTTGTCTCTTTCACAAGTACTTTTTAGTTAGAGGGTACCTGACAATAGGGGTGGCTATACGGTCCGGTCCGGTTAAATTGGCCCAAAATAATCCGGTCCAGTCCGGGTTTTTTGAAAATATAAGGACCGAAGATTGGATTGGATACAGTCCGGTCTTGATCCGGTCCGGTCCCAATTCGGTCTTGATTTTATATTGAAATTGTGGGAATTTGAGTGGCCTAAGGCCTAAAAGGATGAGGAGTTGGTTAAGTTTTGTACTAAGTGCAAAGGTTTGTGACCGTTTGGTTAAGTTTTGGCTGACATGGTTGGCTTTTGTCCTCCAAACTCCTTCCATTCGGGGTTGTTTTCTTTAGTTTGACCTTTTTTGAAATATTTTTTGTGGAACCTTTCTATAATTAGGCTCTTTAGTCCTTATCCTCTATCACTTAAAGTTTAAGTAATATCATATAAGTGTGTCATTTTTTCTACCAAATAAGCCACTAAAATTTTTAGAACAAGTCCATGACAATTACAAGGTGCATCATGGTTTATAAGTTATAAGTATAACATCAATAAATCCTTCCCCGAGATAAATTATGGCAAAAACTTGTTGGGTTGGGACCAAGAAAGATGTTACTAGACCCCAAAAAAAGGGGAAAAGCTTAAAAACAACCCAATAGATCCTATAATAATAATCTGGAGCATTATTGCGGCTAGCAATATTATTATGTAGTACTTAGTTTCTCCAAGATCGAACTCTATTTCCTCTTTAGCCATAGCATGAAGGAAAACATAAAGGTGATCATGTAAGGCATACAGAAAATGGATGTGTTTAATTCCAATTTTTTCTAAATATTTTCAAAATGCCAATTTATTTCCATTTAATTTTTTCTCAACTTTCTACAAACTTTAGTCACAAATCAAAAGTACTACTTGTTTGAACCTAACTGAGTGTAGGAGTGAGGTTCGAGGAAGAATGTGGGTCAAGAAGAACACAAGAGGGGAAAATCGTTTAGAAGAATGAGAACTCAAGAGTCGAAGTTTTAGAGAGAGAAGTTGATATTATAGAGATAGAATGTGAGAAAATGAGATCCCCCTCACCCACCAGAGTAAATGCCGTATTTATAGGCTACAAGGTGGTGGGTGAGTGGTTGAGTTACATGATGTGACAATGACATGACCACTGACGTGTCACGGATTTAGGCCATGCCTCCTAGGACATGTCAGAGGTGTACCTACGACCATATCTAGGACTCTGATGTGACCATCCCTTGGGAAATGCGACAGGGCTTCTTGCGGCTCTGTGGTCTACTCTCCGCCTGTTCCTTTCTATTCGTGCGTAGCCTATGCCGCGCCCAAACTCTTCGCGCCAAGGCGCACTGGAAGTCTAGAATCGCGTCCCGCACAAGCGGGTCTGGTGGCATTTGGGCTTATGTTTGGCGCGCGTCCCTGACGTGGATAGGTCCGAGTCACATGCCCAACACTACTCATTATAAAACTTACAAACTATTTAAATCTAAAATCTATACCACTTAAGATATCCTATTGAAAGAATAATTTACTCATAAATTTATACCCTACAATTGTCACTTCTCAAAATAAACTTATTATTATATTATTAAACACACTATTCATCATAGTATCATAAAAAAAGATCATTTTGACGAATGAGAACCTTCAATTTTTATTTTTTATTAAATTGATATTTTCATTTGGATCTAGAGAATTGAGGACCGAGGTTCGTCGATTAGAAATTAGGATAAAGTATTATATGAGGAATACCAGTTAATTCATGTATAAACAACCAAGCTCACTAGGTGATCGGTATAGCCGGTTTTCTTTCTCCATCTTATTAACGTGGTCAACTAAATTCCGCAACAAAATTAGTTGTAGCCGCTTTTAATTGGACAAAATATCATGAAACTACGTGGTAGTAATTAGGGATGGAAATGGGCCAGGTTGTGCTTGATTTTGTTAAATCCAAACCCATGGGTATGTCCATAAAAAAATCCAGGTAAAACTCATTGGGCTTAGAAAACTCAAACCCAACCCAAGTCACCTGGTACCCGCGGGTTCATGGATACTCATGTGTTCAAGGATAAAACTTCAAAAACACGTTATTCCTCACCCCAAATAGATCTAAAAACTTTTTAGTATGAATAAATTGAGCAAATGTGATACAAAAATGCATCTCAGCAGGTTCCCACAACTGAAGAACAAATTGAAGATGTATCGCAAGAACAGATCCAAGAGCATATCGAACAACATGTGCAAAAACATATCACATATAAATTACAAAAAGGCATTTGATTCAGGTGGTTGTAGATTTTTGTATTGGTTGGAGAAGGCATTTGATTCATGTGGATACTAATTTGGGGCTCATCTGGATATTCTAGGATTCTGAAGTAGTGGAGTTGAGGGTTTAGTACCAAGTAACAATTTCGTTCATTGTCTAGTGAAGACTCTAGAAGGTGAGAGTTGCTTTAGTACTGCAATCTATGGCTCTAACGATGAACTAGAAAGAAGAGCAACAAATGTTGAATTGTCCAAGTTAAAAATCAATAGCCATACTTGGTTGTTAGGAGGTGACTTCAATGTTGTATTGAAGCTAGGAGAAGCATCTAAAACATGTCATAACACGAGCTGTATGGCTGATTTTGGAAATTGGGTTGTGGCCGCTTTGGATCTATTTGTCCATCGGTCGGTAGGACCTTTTTTACCTGGACCAATAAACAGGAAAGAAACCCCCCCGGTGAAGAAGTTAGATATAGCCTTAGTTAATGAGCAATTGTTTGATACATTTACTAACTGTTTAATTGAAGTTCGACCCTTTATTGATCATTGTGGGATCTTGGTGGCTACAAAACCAACATAGAAAATCTTCCCTAAGCCTTACAAGTATTTTCAATATTTGGTTGGATAATCATAGATTTATGGCACAGATTCTTCAATAGGGGGGGGGGGGGGGGGGGGTGCAAACTCATAGGCATCTTATAAATGTGGTAGATGAAAAACTGAACGAGCAAAGAAGTCCCTAAAGAAGTTGAACAAAGTGGAATTCAGCACTAAAGTAAAGGAAGTCGAGTTGTTATTGTTGTTTGCTCAAGCTCATGCTCTTGATTCACCCTCTACTAAGCATTTTGCTGATGTGTCTTAACTCCATGAAAGATTTGAGGAGTCGAAGAAAAGGGAGTATTGTCTGTACAAACATTTTTCTAGGATTAATTGGTTGGCCTAGGGTGATATAAGCACAATGTTTTTCGCCAAGCTAGGAAAATACGTACTGCAAAGAAGGCAGTTAGAAAATTGATTACATCAAGCGGGGAGGAAATAACCAGTGTTGATATGATTTCAGATGAAGTGGTTGGTTTCTACATGGAATTATTGAAAAGATCGATCCACAAGTCCGGAAGAGAGGCGTAAACTGGAATCTATTGTGAAACAAATTTTGGGGACTAATGAGCAGGCTTTCTTATGCAACCCTGTGAGTCTGTGACAGCAGCTGAGATACAATCTAGTATCCTCCACATGAATTCCCACCAAGCTCCAGGCCGTGATGGGTTTATAGCGAGATTTTAAAGGAAAGCATGATCAATCATAAGATTGATGACATAGTCACAAGAGACAATTTATTAAGATGGGGAAAGATCATTGGTGGTTCTTGTCTACTGTGCAACCAGCTGCCAGAATCTAAGGAGCACATATTTTTTAATGTTATTACTCTCAAGAAGTTCTGACTTGCTTGAATTGTGGTATGGACTGTTGGCTAGAGACTGTTGAAGCTGCAAGTAATCTTAGCATGCAAGCAACAAAAAACTCATGGTAGAACTTCTGGTATGATGTTGTGTTTCATGATGGCCTACCAATGGGAGGAGAGATGCAGAAGGTTGCATGGTGAACTGCCTTGAGTTGCTTGTGACTTGAGAGCTCATATTAGAAATGATATGCTTTCTGTTGGAAGACCTCAATCATTTTTGGTTGATTTTGCTACTATAGGTGTCTGTGATTGAGAGTAATTGTACATTGAGTGGCAATATTATTTATGTATTTTAGAAGCAATAGTAGATATCATTATTTACTTTTCTTCATAGCGTATCTACTTGATCACCGTTTCGTTGTAACAAGTATGGACCATGCTTTTAGCATATTTGGAGAGTAATAAACAAGCAACGGATTCAATGAAGAAGAAAAAAATAATAAAATAAAGGGTCATGTGCTACAGAAAAAGTATTGTACTAAAATGAGTTATTTGAAAAGTAACTTCTAACCTTGTGTTATTTTGAAATAAATCTTTTTACCTCTCTGTGTTTGTCGATTATACCACATATACATGGTTCTACTAAATAAAATACACTATCCAATTAACATTAAAATACTATATAAATACTGCATTGACAATTAATCCATCAAAAACTAACCCTAAATTCAAATAAAAACCCCGTGCCTGCTAAGCCTGATGCCATTTTTCCACCCCACAGCCGGTCTACGCTTACCATCTGTTTAGACATATCCGACGGTCCAGATTTCATCTCCCTGGAAACACACCCTTCCTCTTCCCCAACGAAATCATCGCCCTCCCTTACCCTTTTTCTCCCAAAATTAGCCCCCACCTCCTTCCTCCTCTCTTTCCTCTTAACGCCACAGTCTTACCTTTCCTCGCGATTCAATTCCAGCCCCAGAAGAAGACGAAAAAAGGAGAAATACCTGCTCGAAAAACAAAAAAAAAAAGAAGGAAAAACACCACCCAACCAGGAATCAAAATCCAGATCTAGCTCTCTCTCTACAGTCAATCTCCTTCACGATGGCAACTTCGGCTCGCGAAGAGAACGTCTACATGGCCAAGCTCGCCGAGCAGGCCGAGCGCTACGAGGAGATGGTTGAGTTCATGGAGAAGCTCTCGGCCTCCATCGACGGCGAGGAACTCACAGTCGAGGAGCGTAACCTTCTCTCTGTCGCCTACAAGAATGTGATCGGCGCCCGTCGCGCCTCCTGGCGCATCATTTCCTCCATCGAGCAGAAGGAGGAGAGCCGCGGCAACGAGGACCACGTCAACATGATCCGCGACTACAGGACTAAGATCGAGACCGAGCTCTCCAACATCTGCGACGGGATCTTGAAGCTGCTCGACACCAGGCTCATCCCTTCCGCCGCCGCCGGCGACTCCAAGGTCTTTTACCTCAAGATGAAGGGCGATTACCACAGGTACCTTGCTGAGTTCAAGACCAGCGCCGAGAGGAAGGAGTCCGCTGAGAGCACCCTCACTGCTTACAAATCTGCTCAGGTAGTAATTCTGCCCCCTTGTTTCTTTTGATTCTTTGTAATTAATGTCATTCTTCAGATCTCGCCTCCATAGTTCCTAGATCTGCTCGCCTAGGTTTTCGATTCGGCGCGGATTGGGATGTAGCAATCGTCGTTGTTATAAATTGGTCCATCTGATTGTTAGTCTCACCTGCATTCTTTGTGCGTGTGTTTTTAGGATATTGCAAACGCTGAACTGGCTCCAACCCACCCCATCCGGCTCGGATTGGCTCTCAACTTCTCAGTCTTCTACTATGAGATCCTCAATTCTCCTGATCGCGCCTGCAACCTCGCCAAACAGGTTAGCTACCATCACACCTTTGTTCTTGGGAATTGTTTAGGCGAGACAAGAGTAGGTGGTACTACGATTGTGCTATTGCCATGGACTTTAACCAGCGGATTAGCCTCCCGCCATTTACGTTCTCTGCTACAGCTGTTTTACGTTTGCCTCGACCACAAACGCCACCTTATTTTTCCCTTCCTGTTGGCTGTTCTGAACTGTCTCCCTTGGCAGGCATTCGATGAAGCAATCGCTGAGTTGGATACCTTGGGCGAGGAATCCTACAAGGACAGCACTTTGATCATGCAACTTCTCCGCGATAATCTCACCTTGTGGACCTCCGATATGCAGGTGAAAATTAGACTCGTTTTAGCGGAATCATACATTTTTCTCTCAAGAACCGCGGTTCATATTCAAACAATAGCATCCTCGTCGTAGTTTATACACTAGTTTGTCAGTTCAACCGGTGTATAACTACTGGCCTGCACGAATTATGTTTTCCTGTGACTGAATTGGCCCAATGGGGCTACGCCTCTCCTCTCTCGTAGGACGACGGTGCGGACGAGATCAAGGAGGCAGCATCTGCGCCCAAAGGTGGCGAGGAGCAGCAGTGAAGCCTTCGCCGCTCGGAGCTGGGGAATGCAAATTAAAGCTCAACTTTCTCCTCTAAGCTTTTTAACTCGGAGAAGGTGTGGCGAGTGCCTCTTTTGTTACTTCCAGGTTTTAGGCAAAAAAATTAATTATTCCTGCCTTGGCTTTGGATTGTGGAACGGACCAAGCCGTTCTTTTCTTTTTCCTCCTCCGTTTTCACCTTTCATTTTTTTTTCTTTATTTTAATTGTAGTTTGTCGTTTTCTACCGAGCCCACCCCTCAAATGTGTCTCTTTTTTCCGGATTGAAGCTTTTTATTAATATAAATATGCATTGCTGTGTTGTCATCCTCAGCTGTTGTTTTTTTTTTTTTTTTTTTTTTACAAAGAGACTCTGCATTATCCCCAAAAGCCAAGCCAAAGGTTATAGAAGTGGGAAATTTACATTAAGGTCTAAGGATGGTGATCCAAACATCCAAATCAACTGGTAACTGGTTTTTTGCACTTGATCAGGCCACCCAATTGACAGTTACATTACATGCACGTCGAACAAAGGAAATACCCACATTTGGCTGCCTAGTTATTCTGCTAACTTGAAGATTCTGCTAACTTGAAGATTTGTTAGTATATACTAACTAATATACAAAATGTATGAACTAATATCCAAGTCTGTTGAGTATCTAGATAGCACATGCTAGTATTCAAAACATCACAAACTAGTGTCCAGATAGCATATACCAACTAATATCCACAATCAACCAACTAATATTCAATATGGATACTCTTACATGTTATCTGGATACTCTTATGTGTTATCCGGATAATATTTATGTGTTGTATGAATACTATTTATGTGTTGTCTAGATATTAGTTTGTGAATTTGGGATAATAGTTGATTCATGATGGATATCAATTAGCAAACTTTGAATACTAGTTTTTGCTCTCTAGATACTTTTGTAGTTGGATACTAGTTCATGTATTTTGGATATCTATTAGTATCTGCTAACTAATCTTCAAGTTAGCAGATTAATTTTTCCCCACATTTGGGGTTAGCTCAAGAATAGAGGCAACAATGTCATGCCTCGCAGCAACCATACAAGGCCAACCTTTTCTTGGTCCTCAAATAGAGGACCTCCCAAGCTTGCTTTGCAAGTAACACCAAATTATAGAAATGAAACGGAGAGAAGCCAAGACCTCCTTCTTCCTTCGGGGTATAGAGAACATTTCCTGCTCTCCAATGAATGATTTTTTTGTTGTTGTTGTTGAACCATACCAGAAAAATCTTTTCAGCATGCTATCCATTCTATTAGTCATCAATCGAGGGAACAAGAAAATGCTCATTTGGTAAGACGAGATAGCTTGGAAAATCGACTTGAGAATAACTTCCTTACCCCCAGGTAAGAGCAGCAAACTCTTCCAATTTTCTCCTTGGCTCTCCATCTTTTCAAGCAAGAACTTAAAAGTTTCCTTCTTAGATCTTCCCCATGAAGTCGAAACTCCCAGATACTTTGAATGACAATACTCATCATCAAAATTAACAAGCTTCTAATACTGATAGAAACCCGCTCGGCGGGTAGGGTGGGTCGGGTTCGGGCATGTTGGCCGAGTAGGAGTGGCAATTTTGTTATTTTCTCTGTTAGTGCTGAAACTCATAAAAGGGGAGGGAGTACGTTCATTTGAGATTAGACAAGAATAATATCAGAATCCCTAATTTTCTCAATTCTCTATTCTTCCCCAATCCTCTCAAATCCCTAACTCTCTTTTCCCAATTCTTCTCAATTCCCAACTCTACTCTTCTCTATCAATTGGTATCAGAGCCACAATGAGCTCGAAACGGCTCTCTGATCTGGATTGGACCCATGTGCAACAACGAATTGACGCCATCAGGGCTGACCAAGCCCGCGTCGCGCGCGAGCGGGGGAGCGGCGCGGCGGCTATGGCGACAGGGGGGCGGACGGCGGGCGGCCGCGCGGGCGCTGGGCTGCCGCGCAGGGCGGTCGGGGTCGCGCCGAGGGCGCTGCTGCCGGTGAGCGCGCCAGGCGACTCGATCGCCGTGGAGGGGCAGCGGCGGAGCTCGCCGCAGGAGGAGAGGGCGGCCGGAAGCCGGGAGGCGCCGCAGGAGGAGAGGGCGGGGCTGCGACCGTGCCATCGGCAGGGAAGGAGGCGACTCCCTCGCTCTCTCTTCATGCTGTGACCGGGCTGCCGACACCCGGAACTCTCCGATTCCGAGCTCAGGTTGCCGGTACCTCAGCTTTGACCTTGGTGGACAGTGGTGCTACCCTGAATTTTATTAGCGAGGAACTGGCAAAGCTTCTTACACAAAAGCCGAGCTTGGTGGACCCGATGGTGGTTCGAGTAGCTAGTGGAGCACCTATGCAGTGCAAGACAGTCTATCGGGAGCTGTCATTCGAGATTCAAGGGCTGCCCGTAATCGCGGATGTGTTTGTGCTGCCCATTCGCGGGTTTGACATGATTTTGGGTGTTTCATGGTTGCAGGGATTGGGACCAGTCACCACTGACTGGCGTAGTTTAACGATGCGGTTCAAATGGCGAGACAAGGAGTGGTGTTTGCAGGGGATGACCATGGCCCTGGGTCCGATTTCTTTCCTGGAGTGCATGACCGGGGAGGAGGCGGAGTTGGCGGTCATGTGTTGGCCGGTGGCATCGTCGGAGGACCAGGAGCTCGCCCCCGATCTGCAGCGGGTGCTGGCTGGGTTTCCGGAGCTCTTTCAGACGCCGACCACATTGCCGCCACACCGGCAGGTTGATCATCGCATTCACCTCAAGGAAGGGGTGGAAGCTGTGAACGTCCGCCCATATCGATATGGCCATTCCCAGAAGGAGGAGATCGAGAGACAGGTATGCTAGCGACTGGATTGATTCGGCCGAGCACCAGCCCTTTCTCCTCGCCGGTGCTACTGGTTAAGAAGAAGGATGGGACTTGGCGCGTCTGTATGGATTATCGGGCACTGAATGCCACGACAGTGAAGGATCGATTTCCGATTTCGACGGTGGATGATATGCTGGACGAGCTACATGGGTCGGCGTACTTCACCAAGCCTGATCTGGGAGCTGGGTACCAACAGATTCGGATGACGGAGTAAGATGCGCACAAGACTGCTTTCCGGACGCATAATGGCCATTATGAGTACTTGGTCATGCCCTTCGGCTTGTGCAATGCTCCCTCGACTTTTTAGGCGGCGATGAATGACATATTCCAGCCGTTGCTGAGACAGTATGAATAGGTATTTTTTGATGATATTCTAGTCTACAGCCCCTCTTGGGAGATGCATTTGCAGGCGGTATTTGAGATATTGAGGCACCATCATTACTACCTCAAGGCATCGAAGTGTGCGTTTGGGGTTTAGAAAGTGGAGTACTTGGGCCACATAGTCACTCCACAGGGGGTCCAGGCGGATCAATCGAAGATTCAGGCCATGGTCGAGTGGCCAACCCCGACTACTGTCTCGCAGCTGCGGGGTTTCCTGGGTTTGACCAGTTATTACCGGAAGTTTGTGCAGGGATACAGTATGATCGTCTGGCCCTTGACTAATCTGTTGAAGAAGGGAGGGTTTGCATGGACACCAGAAGCAGACAGGGCATTTCAGCAGCTTAAGCAGGCCATGACGACCACCCTGACCCTAGTCATGCCGATTTTTCCCGGACCTTTGTGATTGAGGCCGATGCCTCGGGCCGGGGTATTGGGGCAGTACTATCTCAGGATCGTCACCCGGTGGCCTATATGAGTAAGACCTTGGCTCCATCCAAGGAGGCTTGGTCTACTTACCAGAAGGAGATGGATGCTATTATCACAGCAGTACAGATGTGGAGACCGTACCTTCTGGGGAAGAAGTTCCACATTTACACCGATCACCAGAGTCTGCGGAACCTTTTGGAGCAGCGAGTTTCCACTCCCGACCAGCACAAGTGGGTCTCGAAGCTCCTTGGGTATGATTATGAGATTCATTATCGACCAGGGCCCTCCAACGTCGTGGCCGATGGGCTCTCGCGGACCGGTTCCCCAGTTCTAGGATGCTTTGGGCCCTCACCGATACCGATACCTACCTGCAGGGTTGTCGGGATATAGCAGTCAGTGAGGCTCCAGGTCATTACTCTTTCAGGCAGGGGCTCATATTCTTCCGTGGGCACATTGTTCTTCCGCGGGGATATTCACTGGTGACGACCTTTCTGCAGGAGTATCATGACTCCCCATTCGGTGGGCACTCAGGGGTCGAGCGGACGCTGAGGAGGATCCGGGCCCAGTTCTATTGGCCCCAGATGAGCCAGGACGTGAAGGGCTATATAGCGTCGTGCGATACTTGTCGGCGTGTCAAGGCTTCTCATCTGAGACCCGCGGGTCTCCTACAGCCCTTGCCAGTACCCGAGCGGGTGTGGGAGGATATCAGCATGGACTTCATCGTCGGTCTTCCACCCTCCGGAGGAAAGACGGTCCTGTTCGTCGTCGTTGATCGGCTGACAAAGTATGCCCATTTCATGGCCTTGGCGCACCCATACACGGCACGGGCAGTGGCAGAGCAGTTTGTGTTGGAGGTCGTCCGTCATCACGGGTTCCCGAGGTCCATTGTCAGTGACCGGGACTCCATTTTCTTGAGCCGGTTCTGGCAGGAGGTGTTTACTATGGCACAGACTACGCTGCGGATGAGTTCCGCCTATCATCCACAGACAGATGGCCAAACTGAGGTGGTTAACCGCTACCTGGAGCAGTACCTGCGCTATTTTGCCCATCAGCAGCCGAGGCGGTGGTTGGCTCTCCTACCTTGGGCCGAGCTATGGTATAACTCCACCTACCATAGGGCGATCCAGACTACACCATTTGAGGCCCTTTATGGGCGACCACCACCCTCTCTAGTCTGCTACCAGAGTGGTACCAGCTAGGTGGATGCGGTGGATCGATGGTTGGAGACGCGAGACGAGGCCTTGGAGCAGCTCAAGACCAACTTGGCAGCCGCCAACAATAAGATGAAGCAGTTGGCTTATGCAAGGCGGCGCGAGGAGGAATTTGAGGTGAGAGACTGCATCCGTACCGGCAGGCTTCCGTCTTTCGCCGTGCTTACCAGAAGTTGGCCGCCCGGTACTTTGGACCTTATGAGGTACTGTAGAAGATTAGTCTGGTAGCTTATCGTCTGCAGCTGCCAGCTGATGCTCGTATCCACCCCACCTTCCACGTCTCATTACTGAAGCGCTACCGGGGCGCCGCAGATCGATTGGAGACCACCGCCCCGCCGGTGTCGGTCGATGGGGATCTTGAGCTCATTCCCTTGCAGGTCCTGGATACCAGATGGGTGAAGAAAGGTGGCCGCCTGACGGAGGAGAGTTTGGTTCTGTGGCAGCATATGGCGAGAGAAGATGCAACTTGGGAGGAGACGGTCGTGATACGACAGCGATTTCCGACGTTTGACCTTGAGGACAAGGTCATTTCAGATGGGGAAGGGGATGATAGAAACCCACTCGGCGGGTAGGGTGGG